TCCATGGCATGTATGAACTAGTTCTGCTACCAAAAGCAGTATGGTAGCATGGAGCTTTCTGCAGAGCTAATTTGTCTTGCTCAAAAGTGAAGTAAAATAGCCCAGACAGAGCTCCATGGTATTTCTGCTAAACTGCTTCTGGTACCCAAGCCAGCTCTACCCATGAGTTCTTACATATTTCTACGATATGTGGCATCCTTAATATGAAACAATTGCTATCTCATTGCCTCCATGGGACAAAGCAGTTTCAAGTATAAGCTATAGTTTGTTTGCTTCTTATGCTTGGTTGCAGCGTGGGGTGGTAGGTAACCACCAGGGGTTGCGCAGCCACAGGAGGGTTTCTTTTTGTATTGTAGCATGTTACTGTGGGGTATTTGGATAGCTCTTTCAAATGTATAGTCTGTTTCTCTACTGGAGTATCCTTGTTGCATAAAGGATTTTAGGTTGGGCAGGTGAACATCATGAATGTTCTCAGAGCAGATGTGGTGGTATCTGAGGGCCTGACTGTAGAATACAGCTTTTGTGATGTTCTTGGCATCAGAGCTGGCCTTAGGGAAAATGGCACCCTGGGTGAACTTGTAATTTGGCACCCTCCCCTGCCCTGCAAAGTCAGTGTGCTGCTGCAGGCAGAAGCAGGGGGGGCAGGTGTGTGGGGTGCAGTCTGGCAGGGAGGCAGAGCAGCATGGCGTGCCAGGTGGGTGGCCAGGTACTGCTGTTGCAGGGTGAGCAAGGCAGGCAGACTGGAGCAGGCACCAGCCTGATGATCACATGCATCCAGCCTGGCTCCTGCTGAACAGCAGCTGGAGATGAGAGGGTGGGCTGGGCTGGGCTGGGCACTACCTCTTCTGCCTGGGATGAGGATCAGTTGGGGTGGGGAGGAGAGTGCTGCTGTGAGTGTGAGCTGCTCATGTGCATGTGTGTTTGACATCCCCTGACAACAGCACCCTAGGTGGTCACCCACCCCTAAGGCTAGCTCTGCTTGGGATTGTTGGTCTTGTAGATGTAAGTATGGTGGTTTGTGAAGTGTGTGTGTGTTTTTTTTTTTCTGTAGTCTTGCCTCTTTCATAATTCCTGGACCATCACAACTACATCATCACTGTACCAAAGATCCTTAAGGCTGCTTTAAGTACTTGGATGTATATCCAAGTGTTGTATAATACTTCTGTAAAATTGCGCTGAAGGGCTAAGGAATCCCTTTGAAAGTATAATTATATTTCTGCCAGCAATTTTGGATTTTAACATAGATTTCAAGTGTTATTGAGAAATAACAAAATGAACTGTTGCATGGAATTTGTGTGGAAAATCAAGGGAAACTCAAGATTAATGGAGAAAAGCAAGTATTGCATTTAACTGTAGGAATATAAATAAGACTCATTTTAGCATTTTCTGCTAATAAACTTAACATCTATCCCAAGTAAAATGACAGAATACTGAAGGTAAGAGAGCAATATGCTGCTTAAAATTATAAATGAAGATTTAGCCTGAAACTCGTTTTTGTTTTATGGGATTAAGAAATAGCTGAAGAAAGTGTACTAAATGTGATATAAATATCACATCTTGCTCACTTATTAGATACACCTGAATTATCAAAACAATGGCTAATACTCCCTACTAAGTGCATGAGCAAGGGTACAGACATGCCATGTTACATGTCCCTATATGCTGTGTAGGGAAAATGCAAGAGATGTTTCCAGTTGGACAACATTGTACCTTCTTAGAAAGAGGAAAAAAGCAGATGCGCTAAGGCTTCAGGTTCTACAATCAGGGAGTGAATGTGCTGTAATTCTGTGATTAAGAAATGTGATGTGTAAGCCTTAGATACCTTAAGCCTTAATGTATGAAACAAGGGTAGACAAGAAATGTTTAAAATATTTAGGCTATTTTCTCCATCTTAAAATGTATAGTACCTCTCTCAAAGTAATTCTTGTCACAAGGAGTCTTGTCCCTGACTTGTGGAAATTAAAGACAAGATGCTCCTCTCCTGATAGGAGTTTGAGTGTAGGAAGCAAAAGCCTGTATACTTCTCCTCCTCCCCCTCCTTCCCACTCAATTCCACCTGGGAACCAGGACTGGAGCCTGGGAAAAGGCTCTTCTGCTTTCCTGAGAATTTTCCTGCCTGCTTCCCTTTGCCCTACCAGAATCCTTTTGGAGTGAAAATTTTCTACCCCTAGAAATGAAAGTGTGTACCATGTCCAAACCTCATAGGTTCTATTCTAGTGTTTTGGGGCCCCCTTGTGGTGGGGAGCTCTCGATCATAAATGGCTGTAGTGAGAGCCTTCTGGATTGGTGGCATCTGTCTTCCAATTTGAAATTACTTCAGAGGACCTCTAGTGTGCTACTTCCTTGGGGAATGAGGTAAGCAGGGTTTGTTTGCTTGTTTTGTTTTATAGGAAGTAAAGTATTGGGGTGGGCTGATGAGTTTCCTTTTTTTTGTGCCTGGGCTTGTTAGTTAACTGATTAGTTTGGAAGATGTCTCGGGTAAGATGGATTATCTGGCTGCATAAATT